ATTAAACTGCATCTGCCACTTCTCCGACCACTGCATCAGTCTACTCAAATCTGATAGCTTGTGCTACCAGGTCGGTTGCCGTGTTCCTCCCTTAAGTCAATGTGACCTGACCTGACTAGGTTGGGTGCATTGGGTGAAATAAATGGTATAAAATACCGACACAATGGCAATATAAACACAAATGCAGTATAATGTGATCCTTTATTGACTACGTTTCGCCCACACAGTGGGCTTTTTCAAGTCACAAACAGAACTACCTGGGGTGGAAGGAACGCGAGTATTTATAGTCCGGCTGAGGTCAGGTGAAGAATGCTGCATCTGATGATGTACCGAGTTGGGTTTAGAGTCTAAAAACTTGGGTAGTTTGGAAAGGAGACTGGACAAGTTTGTGAGCAGACCTTCTACAGTGTTCTTATGTGGGATAGCGATGAAGAAGTTTCTTGGCAAGTGGTTCAGCTATGTTATAGAAGCCACTATTCTGGTTGAAGTTGTCGGATATAGAAATAAGTGATGATTCCAGGATTCTTCGGTATTGAGTGTTGTCTTCTGTGGCGATAAGTCTTGAGTTTCTGTAGTTTATCAAGTGGTTGTGTGAATTACGGTGTTGTACGCAGGCATTCCTTGTGTCGTCAGACCTGCTTGCGTATTGGTGTTTGCTTTGCTTTGCACCCCAGGTAGTTCTGTTTGTGACTTGAAAAAGCCCACTGTGTGGGCGAAACGTAGTCAATAAAGGATCACATTATACTGCATTTGTGTTTATATTGCCATTGGGTGCATTGGCTTAAGCCGGTAGGAGACTTGGACCTGCCTCGCATGGGCCAGTAGGCCTACTGCAGTGTTCCTTCGTTCTTATGTTCTTATTTGAGTATCATTATTTGTAGACTTTCCGCCATCCAGTGGCTTTATCAATACAAGGACGTAATGTGAAGAATTATATACAGAAGATGAGGTGAAGAATTGAGACACTTATGCAACACATGGGAATTTTATTGAAGAAACATTTCGCCACACAGTGGCTTCATCAGTCCAATACAAAGTAGAAATGAGTAAGGAGAGGAGAAGTTTGAGGTAATCAGTCCCTCAACCTGGAATCGATGTGTTCAGTTCATCACTCTTGTAGGAAGTGCAGCATAGGGCCAGAGAGGTGACTTACATACTGCAGTCAGATGAGTTGAAGCAGGAGGAGGCGGGATCACAGTGGGACCTGCCACTAGTGTAAGTAGGTCGTCGATTCCAGGTTGAGGGACTGATTACCTCAAACTTCTCCTCTCCTTACCCATTTCTACTTTGTATTGGACTGATGAAGCCACTGTGTGGCGAAACGTTTCTTCAATAAAATTCCCATGTGTTGCATAAGTGTCTCAATTCTTCAACTTGTCGGTTTTCTAAACCATTCATCACAAAAGATGAGGTGATCAGTCCCTCAGCCTTGGAGTGGAAGAGTACCGTAATCTTGAAGGAACTTTAAGACGTTGCAGGTGCCTAAATTTCACCCCTACATTAGGGATTAATGGTTATAAATGACCATAATTTTTAAAGGGGTGGACCGGTAAGCCAGCGGAAGGCCTCGGTCAGATGACCAAAAGCTCCAAAGGCGTCAGGAAACATTTGTCCTGTTTCTTGACGAACCTTACCTAACCTAACCTAACCTAACCTAACCCTACATTAATATATCTGGTGGTTATTGGTTTAAAAAGACTAGTAAGAAAACACTAGGATATATTTTCTAAACCCAGGTTTATACCAACTGATGGTTATAATCATAACCATAACTTTTATGGTGGTGGAGGGGTAAGCCAGTGGAAGGCCTCGGTCAGATGACCAAAAGCTCCAGCTGTGGGTCATCATATAACTAAGACCTGCGTCAGGAAACCCTTGTCTTGTTTCCTCATTACATTACCTAACCTAACTCCGAGACATTTCTTATTAAAACACGCCACGTTTCTAGCGGAAGCAAGCTACGTTTTAAACGAAAACGCGCCACGTTTCCACCCCCAAATTTTACATCTTTTAACGCTAGTTCCGTTTTTTTTTTACGCGAATACACCAGCTTTATACCAGATCTTTTACAACTCTCCCCAACAGTTTTGTTGTTCACAACTTATGTTTACATGGATTCAGGGAAAAAAAAGTCGCCGGAAAAAGGTCACAGCCTAACCTAGTGTGACCTTTTCCCTGTGACTCTCTTACCCGGACACCATTTACACCAATAAATACCAGAAAAAACCACAATACCGTGACTGGAACAATACACAACCCGCACATAGAAGAGAGGAGCTTACGACGACGTTTCGGTCCGACTTGGACCATTTACAAAGTCACAAACCATACCACGGCCGGGATTTGAACCCGCGGTCAGAGAGTCTCAAAACTCCAGACCGTCGCGTTAGCCACTGGACCAGCTAGCCAAAGTCACACTTCGTGCGGGTTATTTATGCACACCATTCAGAGAACCCCCCCCCCCGTGACCACAAGAACATAAGAAAGGAGGAACACTGCAGCAGGCCTGTTGGCCCAAGCAGGTGAGTTGACAACTGTCAGGTGCTCACTGATTATCTAACTCGACTCATTCAGAGGTATGGCTTGATAAAGCTCCTGGAGAGCGAAACGTTGCCACAATAAATGTCACATTAGTTGCACTTGTGTCCTTTTACTTTACATACAGAGGTATTATATTACATGGTATTTATTGCTCAGTGTATGTATAGCGAGACGCTGCCTGTGTATGCTGTCGTAACCTGTAGTGTATGATGCGGTATAAACCTTGGTAATAAATACCGACAAGTTGGTTTAGAAAGACACGTAAGCAAACACTATGACATATTTATTAGAAAACGTTTTAGATGTTAGAAGTGATCAAGGTCCCAGGACCGAAACGTTTTCTAATAAATATGTCATAGTGTTTACTTACGTGTCTTTCTAAACCAGTGTATGATGTATTATGTGTTGAATATAGAATATCGACACGTGTAAAAGTTGGGTATCACAGTATGCTTCTTCAGTCATATACAGAGGCAGCAGGTGTAGTATGTGTTAGGTAAGACACATATGCAACAGTTAGGTATCTTTATTTCGAAACGTTTCGCCTACACAGTAGGCTTCTTCAGTCGAGTACAGAAAAGTTGATAGAAGCAGAAGATACTTGAAGACGATGTAATCAGTCCATCACCCTTAAAGTTTTGAGGTGGTCAGTCCCTCAGTCTGGAGAAGAGCATTGTTCCGTTGTCTGAAACAATATGAAGTTGAAGTGACAGGATGGAGCCTTTATATAGTGCCAGGAGGTGAGACGTAGGTTGCTTTGGGAGGGCAGGTCCCTCTCAAACCCAGCCGTTCTCACTATATAAAGGCTCCATCCTGTCACTTCAACTTCATATTGTTTCAGACAACGGAACAATGCTCTTCTCCAGACTGAGGGACTGACCACCTCAAAACTTTAAGGGTGATGGACTGATTACATCGTCTTCAAGTATCTTCTGCTTCTATCAACTTTTCTGTACTCGACTGAAGAAGCCTACTGTGTAGGCGAAACGTTTCGAAATAAAGATACCTAACTGTTGCATATGTGTCTTACCTAACAATCTGTCGGTATTTTATACCATTTTAATGTTCATTCAGGTGTAGTATGGAAATGAACATGATGTAATCAGTCCTTGAAGAAAAGGTATTTGAGGTGGTCAGTCCCTCAGCCTGGAGAAGAGTTCAGCTCCATGGTCTGGAACAAGGTGGTCAGTCCCTTTAGCCTGGAGAAGAGTTCGTTCCCCTGGTCTGGAACAAGGTGGTCAGTCCCTCAGCCTGGAGAAGAGTTCAGCTCCATGGTCTGGAACAAGGTGGTCAGTCCCTCAGCCTGGAGAAGAGTTCAGCTCCATGGTCTGGAACAAGGTGGTCATCCTCAGCCGGGAGAAGAGTTCAGCTCCATGGTCTGGAACAAGGTGGTCAGTCCCTCAGCCTGGAGAAGAGTTCAGCTCCATGGTCTGGAACAAGGTGGTCAGTCCCTCAGCCTGGAGAAGAGTTCAGTTCCATGGTCTGGAAAAAGGTGGTCAGTCCCTCAGCCTGGAAAAAGGTTCACCCTCCATGGTCTGGAACAAGGTGGTCATCCTCAGCCTGGAGAAGAGTTCAGTTCCAGGGTCTGGAACAAGGGGTCAGCCCCTCACCTGGAGAAGAGTTCAGCTCCATGGTCTGGAACAAGGTGGTCAGTCCCTCAGCCTGGAGAAGAGTTCAGTTCCATGGTCTGGAACAAGGTGGTCAGTCCCTCAGCCTGGAGAAGAGTTCAGCTCCATGGTCTGGAGGGACTGACCACCTCAAATAATTTTTCTCCAAAGATGATGGACTGATTACATCTTTATATTACTCCTACACTTGCTGCCTCTGTATATGACTGAAGAAGCAGATTTAGACACTTGTGCAACCTCTGAGTCACTTCATTTGTAGACGTTTCACCTGCCAGTGGCTTTATCAGTACGATACAAGGCCATAATATGAAGAATTATATATAAAACATGAGGTAATCAGTCCCTCAGCCTTGGAGTTGTTGTACAGCACCGTATTCTTGAAGGAACTGAAGAAGCCTACTGTGTGGGCGAAACGTTTCATCAATAAAGACGTCCAACTATTGCACATGTGTCTTAATCATCAACTTGTCGGTATTTTATACCATTTTCAACAACTGTATTTATGATAAATTAGACACATATGCAACTCTTGGGTATCTTTATTGAGGAAACGTTTCGCCACACAGTGGCTTCATCAGTCCATACGTAGGAGAAACTTGAAGAACAGGAGGAGAATGAGGTAATCTGTCCCTCAACCTTGAGTCGATGTGTTCAGTTCTTCAAGTTTCTCCTACGTATGGACTGATGAAGCCACTGTGTGGCGAAACGTTTCCTCAATAAAGATACCCAAGAGTTGCATATGTGTCTAATTTATCAACATGTCGGTTCTCTGAACCATTCATCAACAACTGTATTTATGTATACCTGTACGTGAACTTAACGTGTTTACAGAGAGTGAGGGAGGAGGGAAGGAGCTGCCAACACGTGCACATAGGGACCAGCGTGCCAGAGAGAGGCTCACACTTGCTCGCCCAGCACACAGAGCTACACCTAGGTGAGTATCCAGCAATAGTTTAGAACCCCGACAAGTTGAAGAATGAGGAAACGTTTCGCCAGCCAGTGGCTTCTTCAGTCTAATACAGAGGCAGCAGGTGTAGTGGTGAAACGATGGATCAGCCCATCTACCTTGGAGAAACTGGCTGGCAAAACGTATCTTCAATACAGATACCCAAATGTTGTACAACCTGGAGGATGAACATTAAAATGGTGTAAAATACCGACAGGTTGTTAGGTAAGACACATATGCAACAGTTAGGTATCTTTATTTCGAAACGTTTCGCCTACACAGTAGGCTTCTTCAGTCGAGTACAGAAAAGTTGATAGAAGCAGAAGAGACTTGAAGTCGATGTAATCAGTCCATCACCCTTAAAGTTTTGAGGTGGTCAGTCCCTCAGTCTGGAGAAGAGCATTGTTCCAGACTGAGGGACTGACCACCTCAAAACTTTAAGGGTGATGGACTGATTACATCGACTTCAAGTCTCTTCTGCTTCTATCAACTTTTCTGTACTCGACTGAAGAAGCCTACTGTGTAGGCGAAACGTTTCGAAATAAAGATACCTAACTGTTGCATATGTGTCTTACCTAACAACCTGGAGGTTACCTGGAGGTTATTCCGGGAATCAACGCCCCCGCGGCCCGGTCCATGACCAGGCCTCCCGATGGATCAGGGCCTGATCAACTAGGCTTGTCGTTTTGTTCACCCAACAGCGTTATTGTTGGACAAGTAGGCTGAGTAGGCCTACTGCAGCGGTCCTTGTGTTTTTATAAGAATAGGGAGAGAGGGGAGACATGATAACGACATATAAAATACAGAGAGAATTGACAGGGCGGATAGGGACAGGATGTTTCTGAGATAGGACACAGCAATAAGATGTCACAACTGGAAGTTTAAGACTCAGAGGAGTCACAGGGATGTTAGGAAGTATTTCTTCAGTCATAGAGTTGTCAGGAAGTGGAACAATCTGGAGAGTGATGTAGTGGAGGCAGGATCTATACACAGCTTTAAAAAATGCGACAAAGTTCGTGGAGCAGAAAGAGTGATCTATTAGCGACCAGCGAAAAGGCGAGGCCAGGAGCTGTGAATCGACCCCTGCAACCACATAGGTGAGTACACAGATACAAGCGGAGGCATTTCACCACTTATTACAGACTCACCTTTATGTTAGTACACGCTCTCTCAGACTCCCCCACCACACTGTGCGTCATCATAACAACCAAACTCATGGCCACATATACCGGGAGATGTGTATCACTCGGTGTATATCCACTGGGAGTTCTTGACTACTGGTGTACAAGCGAAATGTAGCCTGAATGACCCTCGTGCAGTCGATTGGCTTTAGACTTTCACCCACCATGGCTGCGTCATGTAACATTGTCACCCACCATGGCTGCGTCTTGTAACATTGTCACCCACCATGGCTGCGTCTTGTAACATTGTCACCCACCATGGCTGCGTCTTGTAACATTGTCAACCACCATGGCTGCGTCTTGTAACATTGTCAACCACCATGGCTGCGTCTTGTAACATTGTCAACCACCATGGCTCCGTCTTGTAACATTGTCACCCACCATGGCTCCGTCTTGTAACATTGTCAACCACCATGGCTCCGTCTTGTAACATTGTCAACCACCATGGCTCCGTCTTGTAACATTGTCAACCACCGTGGCTGCGTCTTGTAACATTGTCAACCACCATGGCTGCGTCTTGTAACATTGTCAACCACCATGGCTCCGTCTTGTAACATTGTCACCCACCATGGCTGCGTCTTGTAACATTGTCACCCACCATGGCTGCGTCTTGTAACATTGTCACCCACCATGGCTCCGTCTTGTAACATTGTCAACCACCATGGCTCCGTCTTGTAACATTGTCACCCACCATGGCTGCGTCTTGTAACATTGTCACCCACCATGGCTCCCTCTTGTAACATTGTCAACCCACCATGGCTCCGTCTTGTAACATTGTCAACCACCATGGCTCCGTCTTGTAACATTGTAAACCACCATGGCTGCGTCTTGTAAAAATTGCACCCACCGGCTGCGTCTTGTACTTGCCCCCACCAGGGCTGCGTTTGTAACATGTCCCCACCATGGCTGCGTCTTGACATTGTCAAACCCACCATGCTGCGTTTTGAACTTTGTCACCCACCATGGCTGCGTCTTGTAACATTGCCCCCCCCATGGCTGCTCTTGTAACATTTAAACCACCAGGGGGCGGGGTCTTGAAACTTGCACCCACCATGGCGCGTTTGTAACATTGTCACCCACCATGGCTGCGTCTTGAACATTGTCACCCCCCTGGCTGCGTCTTGAACATTTAAACCACCATGGTTTCGTCTTGAAAACATTTCACCACCATGGTCGTCTTGTAACATTGTCCCCCACCGGGCTGGTTTGTAAAACTTTAAACCACCTGGCTCCCGTCTTGTAACATTTCAACCCCTGGTTTCCGTTTTGTAACATTGTCACCCCCGGCTCCGTTTTTGTAACATTGTCCCACCATGGCTCCGTTTGTAACATTGTCAACCCCATGGCCCCGTTTGTACATTGTCAACCCCCATGGCCCTCTTGTAACATTGTCACCCCCAGGCTGCGTCTTGAAACTTTTTTTCCCCCACCGGGTGCGTCTTGTAACATTGTCACCACCATGGCTGGTCTTGAAACATTGTCAACCACCTTTGGTGGTTTTGTAACATTGTCCCCCACCATGGCTGCGTCTTTTTTAACATTGTAAAAACCACCATGGCTGGGGTTTTTGTAACATTGTAAAACCCCCATGGCTGCGTCTTGTAACATTGTCAACCCCAGGGCCCCGTTTTGAACCTTCCACACTTGATTTTTGGGGCCAACGGTAGCCAACATAACAACTGGGGGAAACGTAAAGAAAGGCCGCCCTCAATTGGCTGCTGTTAAAAAAAATTTTTAAAACCAGTCAAGGAAAAAATGGAGAAGGGGGCGGGGGTTTTGTTTTACCCTGACGATGAAAAAAATATACTGGGATTTCTTATACATTCTGGTCAAGGTCATACACAGTTTGAAGAGTGGGTATGGCAGGTTGTCAAGACTTCAAGAGGATGGACCAGGAGCTAAAACTCAACTCGTGCAAACAGAAATAGGTGACCACGCACTCGGGGGCCCGGAGCTGTGACTCTGCCCTTGCAACCACTTACAAGTTAGTGTACACACACACACATACACACACACACACACACACACACACACACACACACACACACGCACGCACTTCCTGGCAGTGAGTCACAGGTAAATATTTACACTTCATATCTGGGAAGGATGGATAGGATAGGGATGGAGGGATAGGATAGGAGAGGGATGGGGGAAGGATAACAGCCTACACACACACACACACACACACTGGACACTGGAGGACTGGAGGGTTACGGGAGACATGATAACAACATACAAAATATTGCGTGGAATAGACAAGGTGGACAGACAGGATGTTCTAGAGATGGGACACAGAAACAAGGCGTCACAATTGGAAGTTGAAGACCCAGATGAGTCAAAGGGATGTTAGGAAGTATTTCTTTAATCATAGAGTTGTCAGGAAGTGGAATAGTCTGGCAAGTGAGGTAGTGGAGGCAGGAACTATACATAGCTTTAAGATGAGGTATGATAAAGCTCATGGAGCAGGGAGAGAGAGGACCTAGTAGCACTTAGTGAAGAGGCGGGGCCAGGAGCTGAGTATTGACCCCTGCAACCACAATTAGGTGAGTACACACACACACACACACACACACACACACACACACACACACACACACACACAGTAGCTGTGAATCGACCTCTGCAACCACAAATAGGTGAGTACACACGCACAGGAAGAGGGGCAAACATGAAAACATACAAAATACCCGGGGGACAGGCTGCTTTAGAGGTGGGAAACAGGTACTCAGGGGCACAGCTGGAAGTTAGATAAGTCACATAGATATCAGGAAGTATTTCTTCAGCCTCAGGGTGGTCGGGAAGTGGAATGACCTCGACGAAGAAGTGGTCTACCTGGAGGGTGTTCCGGGGGTCAACGCTCCCGCGGCCCGGTCCATGACCAGGCCTCGTGGTGGGTCAGGGCCTGATCAACCAGGCTGTTACTGCTGGCCGCACGCAAGTGTAGGCAGACTTTATACATAGTTTTAAGAATAGGTATGACAAAGCCCTCGAGGCTAGGAGATAAGGACTCTAGCAAGTTTGAGAGGCGGGGCCAGGAGCTCAGATTCAACCCCTGCAGCAGTATATAGGTGAGTTCATACCTGCCCACTCATTCTCTCTCTCTCTCTCTCTCTCTCTCTCTCTCTCTCTCTCTCTCTCTCTCTCTCTCTCTCTCTCTCTCTCTCTCTCTCTCTCTCTCTCTCTCTCTCTCTCTCTCTCTCGTTCTTTACAAGGGGTTTTCTATATTATAGTAAGTCACCGTCAGTTATGTACAACGTTTAGTTATACATATTTAACGTATTATCATCATCAACAAGGGTTAAACACTTGCCATAAGCAAACATTATATCAGTGTATGGGAACGTTGACCTTGGTTAATGGGGTTTAAAATCTATCTACTACACGAGGGGTCATGAAGGCTGCGCCTCACTGTACTTCACCAGTCAAGAATACGTACTTGAATGATAATTGGTCTGTGTGTGTGTGTGTGGTGTGTGTGTGTGTGTGTGTGTGTGTGTGTGTATGTGCCAAGATATACATATCTGTGTATATAATCTGTGTTGACGGGGAACAAGTGTAGAAGCCTTCAAGAGGAAACTGGACAAGTATCTTCACCAGGTGCCAGATCAACCAGGCGCCAGCAGCAACAGCCTGGTTGACCAGGCAAGCACCAGACGAGCCTGGCCCACGGCCGGGCTCAGAGAGTAGAGAAACTCTCGAAACTCTTCAAAGGTATATCAAAGGGGAAGTAAGGTCTCATTGTATATACACACTGAGATACATACATCTGTGAATATAAGCTGTGCTGACGGTTATCAAACTGTAATG